GAGAGAGAGAGAGAGAGAGAGAGAGAGAGAGAGAGAGAGAGATTCCATCATATTGTGTTTTATAATCTTAATAATTAATCATTTGTTGTGATTTTAGGTGTTTGACACTTACCCAGACCACGACCTGAGCAGCAAGAAGGACTACATCAAACACACCGTCAAATCTGTGAGAGCACACACACACACACTCTAATGTATGTGTACTAGTATAATGTGGTTAGAGCTCGTGTTAGGAAGTTAAACAGCTCACAATTCATCTCTAATATCTGTTTTATATTCATAAACATCTTCTTCAAACTACTGGATTCATTCAAGTATCACCAAAACTACATTCTACAGATGACATGTGAACTTTATTTACACTGTGCTGGTTAATGTTAACCATCACAGTGTAAATAAAGTTTAACATTAAACTTTATTTACACTGTGCTGGTTAATGTTAACCATCACAGTGTAAATAAAGTTTAACATTACACTTTATTTACACTGTGCTGGTTAATGTTAACCATCACAGTGTAAATAAAGTTTAACATTACACTTTATTTACACTGTGCTGGTTAACGGTAAAACTTTATTTACACTGTGCTGGTTAACGGTAAAACTTTATTTACACTGTGCTGGTTAACAGTAAAACTTTATTTACACTGTGATGTTAACGATAAACAGTACGGATCAATTACAAAAATTTGGATCGTTGGTCGGATGAAACGAGACCTTTTTTCAATCTCTAGCTTTAGGAAACTGATTAGTTACATGATTAGAAAAACAATTGAATACATAGATAAAGACAATTCTATTTAGTTGCTGTTAAGAAATTGTGCACCAGGTTCCCATGTCATCTGTAAAATGTAGTTTTGGTGATAAACTTGAATAAATCCAGTAGTTTGAAGGAGATGTTTTCACATGAATATGAAACAGATATTAGAGATGAATTATGAGCTGTTTAACTTCATTAAACATAATGACTATAAAAATATAATCTTTTATTTACTAATCATTTGAATTGTGTTATCATGAAGAAAAAACTATAAATTACTAAAACAAAGTAAAAATATAATTTTCAGTATTTTTGATGTTTTACTGACTTCAGAGTTTAAATGATGATTAGTTTGATTAAAAACAAGAATCTTAAATATTGTTTTACAACTTTCTGACATTTCATAAAATAAACAACATATTGATTAATTAACAGGGCTGTTGCTGTTATAATTATTATTATTGTTTCCTCACAGATGATCACATGAAGATCTGAAGAAGTTCAACATCTCACAAAACAAAACCTTCTTTTCATTAGTTTCATACAATTTTCTACATTGTTCTGTTAATTTTATTATTGTGTATCTTGTGTATAGATTTCAGATTAAAGTTCGTCGTCAACAAGTTTTAACGTTTTCTGGCAGATTTATGAAAAAAAGACATTTTCCAGAAGCTCAGATGTAGTTTTTCTTTGTGTGAAAGTCTTTGTTTAGATTTGTATATAATGTTTCTAATTAGCTGAAACTATTTTTGATTAACTCATTATGTTGTTTGTCTCTTTCAAACATTAAAGGAAATGTGTTGAATAATTAACTGATGAATAAAAGAACCTTTTTTTTATCTGAATTGTCTCGACGTGGTTTCACTTTTCTCTTCCTGTGAAAACAGACGACCCAAAAATGAATTTAATGAAACTATGACGGGGAGGAGAGGAGGAGAGGAGAGGAGAGAGTGGAGGAGAGGAGACGAGGAGACGACAGGAGAGGAGAGGAGGAGACGAGAGGAGAGAGTGGAGGAGAGGAGACGAGACGAGGAGACGAGAGGAGACGACAGGAGAGGAGAGGAGGAGACGAGAGGAGAGAGTGGAGGAGAGGAGACGAGACGAGGAGACGAGAGGAGACGACAGGAGAGGAGACGACAGGAGAGGAGAGGAGGAGACGAGAGGAGAGAGTGGAGGAGAGGAGACGAGACGAGGAGACGACAGGAGACGACAGGAGAGGAGACGACAGGAGAGGAGAGGAGACGAGAGGAGAGAGTGGAGGAGAGGAGACGAGAGGAGGAGACGAGAGGAGAGAGTGGAGGAGAGGAGACGAGAGGAGAGAGTGGAGGAGAGGAGACGAGAGTGGAGGAGAGGAGACGAGGAGACGAGAGGAGAGAGTAGACTAGAGGAGAGGAGGAGACTAGAGAGGAGACGAGAGGAGAGAGTAGAGGAGGAGACGAGAGGAGAGAGTAGAGGAGATGAGAGGAGGAGAGGAGACGACAGGAGAGGAGAGGAGGAGACGAGAGGAGAGAGTGGAGGAGAGGAGACGAGGAGGAGAGAGTGGAGGAGAGACGAGAGGAGAGGAGAGAGTAGAGTAGAGGAGAGGAGGAGACTAGAGGAGAGGAGACGAGAGGAGAGAGTGGAGGAGAGGAGACGAGGAGACGACAGGAGAGGAG